TATACATAGAGTTTGAAGCAGCATCTCCCCAGAAACACTTTTCTTCACAAATGCACAAGAAGCCATGTACAAGAATGTTCATTGAAACGTCTACAATAGCAACTTTTAAAAGAAAAAAATATTTATCAGTGGTTGAAAGATGAATAGACAGTGGTTTATGCATAAGCTGCAGTTCTCTACAGCAGTTTAAATGAATGAATTACGGTTGTGTCAACATGGATAAATCCCAGAACTCAATGTTGGGCACAACAAGCAAGCCTCAGGACATATATTATGTATGATAAGAATTATGTAAATGTAAAAATTCACGAAGGTAGTTTATGAACACAGATATTCATTAAATCTAGTAGAGGACATATGATTGGCATCTCATTATGCTTTTTTGTGTGCTGGAAATAATTCCTAAAAAGACAGAAAGAAAGAAGGAGGGAGGGACTCACACACACACACACACACACACACACACACACACACACGCACGCACGCACGTGCACACATAGCCATGGAATAACCTGCTGAAACTGAAGTATCCTGAGCCAAGGCCCAGAGGCTGAAAACCCAGTGGCCGCACACATCTTACCTGCTGTCTTCCAGGTGAACTCTGTGTCCTGAGCAACTCAAAATGGTAACCAGCACCGTGCCAGGCCCATAGTGGGTGCTCCATGCATGTGTGTGATGGCTCCAGCTTTCTGAACATTTCTGAGTATTTTAGCCCAGTGTTAAAATTTGGGAGGCTAGCTTTAAAACTGGGAAGATGAGGCAGTTTCCTCAAAGTGACCACCCTGGCAAATGTCTGGTGTCACAAGGTGGAGGATGGTCTGCTTTCTTGTAAAAGTGAGTTCTGCAGGCACAGCTGTCTCTGCAGTGGGGCCGAGGCCTTCTGCCAGCTGCCCCTCCCCCAGGCAAAGGGGGCCTACATGATTCTGTGGTCAACGAACGTGGTGTGCAGAGTTCCTGCTGGAAAGGACAGGGTCCAGGCCACCTTTGGTTCTATTGACTCACTGGCTCCTTGAGGTGTCTTCAGCGAGTGAGGCTTGTTTCTGTCAGCCTGAATGAGCAGAAACTGCCAGGGGTATGGAGGAAGCTGAGATGTGGAGTACCCTGTATTGGGAAGTCTCTACTCTCAGCAGCCACTTTTGGAAAGAGTAAAGTCAGTGTGAATCTGCTGTGCAGCTTGTAGAAAGAGGAACTGTGTGTGGTGTTGAACATACTGCCTTTGATGAGGGTTATTTGGATTCTGGAAGGAAATTTGTTGTGACACCATCATGCAGGGAGCCCTGAGAATTCAGCTCTTATAAATAAGATGTTATATATAGTATGAGGAAAAATCACTAGCTGGGAAACAGCTTAGTACTGTGTTGGTGGGATAATAAGATTTTAAGTCCAGGAGGAGCTTTATGACTATCTGAGTTAAACCTCTTGTGTCGATGATGGAATTGGAGCTTGACAAAGATTCTCTTCTTGACCAAACTCTAGTCAGGACCCTCTGAGCTCTTTTCAGCTCGTCTCTGTCCTTGGGTATGTCCTCAAGAGCTCATTTTTAGCAAGTTGCCTGTAAGTCAATTTAGCCAGAATCCCCTGAGATATGGGGACCTTTCCTATCTCATCATGTTCAACATCTGATCAAATTCCTCGGCCTCCACCAGGCCCCAAATGATATCTGATCATCCTGGCCTGCCTTCAGCACGAGTCCTGTCAGATCATTTTAGCAAAGAATTTCCCTACCCTCTTAGTCATGTTCATTTTCTGACCCCCACCCTTCTCTTTGGCTATAAGTTCCTTGCTGCCTTTGGAGTTGGACCCAATCTCTCTCTCCTACTGCAAACCCCATTGCAGAACTCCCTATACCCACTGCAAAGGTCCTGAATGAAGTCTGCCTTACCATTTTAACAAGTGTCAGGATAATATTTGTCTTTTGTAGGCTAAGAGAATCAGCTTATCCCTGCTAACATTTCAGATTTAATTCTAGATTCTAGATTCCCAGACTCAGGTTCAAAGTTCTTTACCTATACGGCAATGTCTTTATTCCTTTACATGCATACAATTAAGAAGCAATTCATGTTCTATTTGGGTTAATAGAGTATGTAAGTGACATTCTCTAGAGATTGTGGTTTCTCTCCTTCCCTGCCCTGGGTAGGATGGGAACTCAGGGTGATCGGTCATTTAACCTTAATGTTGGTCTGAGTGAATTGTATAGATCCTTCTCTGGCACAAGGCTCTGCTAGACCTTACAGTCTGTGCCAATTGTGCAGCATCCAAATGGTCAGGTGTGATTTCTAGGGGTGGCTATGTGTTGAGTTGCCTCTAGACATTAGCAGTTGATTAAGTACTTATGAGCAGGCTTGGGCAAGCTCATTTACACCTGCAAATAAAGCAAAGCAATACAAAATCAACATGTTCATTGTTGGTTTTATATTGGGCATGGTGCCAGACTCTGGGCTCTAAGAAGAAATTGCTATTGTCTATTAGGAGTTATAGTCAAGAAAGAGGTCCCAGGGTAAAATGGGTATGACCAAAATAGTAAGATAAATGCTAAAATAGAAATATATACCAGATGGTCTGAAAACAACAAATGGATTTGTGATTAAGTTGTTGGAAGGAGGGTAACATTGGAGTTGTGTGTTAAAGGTTGGCGAGAACTTTACCAAGTAGAAGGAAAAGGGCATGAACAGTTTGGGCAAAGGGAATGATGTGTGCAGAAAAGGAGAGGGATGAAAATACAAGACATTCAGGAAAGTTTAATGAGGCTGCAGAGAAAGGGGCAGAGAAGCAAGTGGCTGGAAATAAGTCTAGTATGGGAGGTTGAAGCCAGATTTTACAAGACTGAGCTTGGAAGATACAATTTCACAGTATGCAAGCAGTACATAATTACTAGGAGGGAGTGAGACGGACAGATCTGGGTGGTTGAAATATAACCTGATGGCCTCACAGAGGACGGTGGGAGGGGAACGTTTGTAAGACAAGCATCCAGTTGGAAGACTGTGGCAAAAAGTATGATGCTTGAGCCAGAGCATTGGTGTGAGAATAGAAGGACCAGGCGTCTAAGTTATTTAGGAGATAGAATCATTGAGACTTGGAGACTGAGCTGGGTTAGAGAGATAAAGGCAGCGTGAGATTGAGAGTGATTCCCAATGCCTAGGGCAGCCGGGAGACAGAAGATAAGAAGTGAGTTTGTGTGTGTTGCGGGGACTGATTATTAAAGTTAGGAGAACCAGTGACCATGTGGCACCAGTAGCCTAGGGAAAGGTTTGAGATATTAATGTTTATTTAGTCAGTAAATATGCTGAGTGTGCATGATGTATAGACTTGGTTCTGTGTATTTTTGGTAAAGGAGAAGTGAAAGTCCATTTTCCTAAAAAATCCTTTTTTAACATTTTGGTATGCTTACGCCCTTCAGGAGGTTTGCCATGTGTTATATTTTGGCATCCTTACAAATGCCTTGTGAGATTAAATTATCCCCTTTTTCAGATAAGAAATGTGATGCTCTAGCAGGTTAAGTAACCTGCCCATGGTCAGGCAACCAGAGAGCTGCAGGTCTGGAAAAGAAACAGAGATTTTACTATGGCCAAAGCTCGCATTCTTTCTTCTCGCCATAGTGTTCCCTGAAGTGCCTTCTCTGTGAGGTGCTTACATTGTGCCTGGTGAAACAGAACATAAAGAAACTAATCGTGACAATATTCAATAGTCAAATAGATGGGAACATTAGCTCTGGAGCGGAGGAGGGACATGAGTGGCTGTTGGGAAGAGGGCGAGTGAAGCGTTAATGGAGGCGAGGGTAGGTATTTAAGCTGGGTCTGGGGGCATGGACTGTGGCAGGTTGCATGAGGGTGGGGATCGATCTTAAAGGTTGTGACAGTTTGGCTACTAGGGGTATAAAGCTAATCTGTGGTTCAGGGCAGGAGCAGATCAGAGCTGGAGGGTGGTGGTGAAGGCTCAAGGAAAAGGCGGGGCAGGTAGTTACCAGGGGAGCCAGCACACAGCCAGGGTCAGAAACAGATCTGAGGCAGAATGAAGGCTCCCATGATGTCCGCCGACTATAGCGAAAATAAAAGGACTTCTGTGACTCGGTGGGGAGAGTTTTATGACTCTAGCCAAAGAAGGCGATGGCAGAGAAGGGAAGTGACAACCTGGTGATACTGGTGGTTTGAAAAGGAGGGAGGTGTGTGTGGAGCAGAGCAGGGAAGGGGAAGGAGGTGAAAGGGGGCAAGGAGCTTGGCTCCTTGAATCTGTTTGGTACCTGCTGTCCTCCCTCTACCTTGGAAAGGCGAGATGGACAGGAAGGAGCCTAGGAGCTGGCCAGCCTGTGTTGTCTGTTTTGGTGCAGGGTCAGAGCCCTGCAAGTCAGGCCCAAATGAGGAGCAGGTAGCCAGCAGGATAATTAGAATGATGAGCTATTGGCGAGCAGTTCAGTGACAGTGGCATTTTGCCCTGACACACCGTTGCTCCTATGTGAAACATCAAACTCTCTGGCTGGCGTGGCCTGGTCTGGCTATTGTCCCACCAAGCTCTTTGGTAGGGCACATCCTGCCTCTCTGACGGTCCCCTTGCTTCAAGCTCAGTGGAGAGAGTGTGAAGTTGGTTGCATCCCGGTGACCTCAGGAGGCAGCCTGGCCTCCCTCCCTGTGGCCTCCTTGCGACCGTGCCTGCCAGGGAGAATCACAGCGCCTCTCAGAGAACCCGAGGCACCGGAGGACTGAGCTTGTGCGTGGTGGGGCGGGGGGCTGGCCTTCTCCAGCAGCTCCTTTCACAGCACATCTGCACAGGGGGCAGAAATTAGGTCTCTGAGAAGGGCCAGGGGCACAAAGGCGAGTGAGCTTAGGTAGTGAGCAGATGCATTAGTCTAATTGCTCTTCTAAAATTAATGGGGCTTTTTATCTTTGAAAAATACCTTTAAGCTCTCATGTCATTCGGGAACAAAGGTGTCATCTGAGGAGAGCCTGGCTCCCCTTTAAACACCAGCCCCATCTAAAACAACCCTTGCCTTTCTCTCTCACCTGCAGATCCACAAATTATGGCACCACCTATGAAAAGCTGAATGACAAAGTGGGTTTGAAGACGGTCCTCAGTTACCTCTACGTCAATCCCACCAACAAAAGAAAGGTAAGAGAAGGGGTCTGTGGGTCCTGGGCACACCCTGTGGGGTGTCAAGGCTGCCTAGGGCCAGGAGTTGTGAAAAAAACAACAGCCATGGAATTGCTTCTAGAGGGCCTTCTTTACATGCTACGGTCTTCACAGACACTGTTTGCAATTCTAACAATAGCCTTAATAGTAGCAGTAGCAATAACAACAACAACAACAACAACAACAACAACAGTAAAATCAGATGATTGTGTAAGGGGTTCCTCTGCGCCAAGGATGCAACTCAGTGCTTTACACACCTTATCTCATGTATCCTCACAATGAATCTATGGGGTAGAAATGATCATTGCCCCCATTTTACAGATAAAGAAACTGAAACTCAGGGATTAAGTATTCAATAACTTTCTAGCCTGAAGTTAGACAGAGTTAAGGAACAGATCTAGGATTTGAAAATGGGTCTGCTTGACTCCAGGGCTGAGTCCTTCTTAGCCTCCCTGTGGCTGGTCTATGTTCTGCATATGTTTCTGCCGAGGGAAGAATAGGCAGCTCCTGGATTTGTCGTCTCAATCCGGAGCTGCTCCCGAGGCCTGGGACAGCAGACCTCCCCTCTGCCTGCCCTGTGCCTCTCTGTCTTTCCTTTCGACTTAACAGCCAGGACATGGATGAAGTGACATAAAAGTGGACTTTAGTCATGGAGAGGGGCCCTGGATTCTCTGGAAGGATGACCAGATTTAGAAAGTAAACGCTGTATGATACATTGGCTTTCGGGAGAGGTGATTTATCCTCAGCTAGGAAGGCACCGTTGTTTAGGAACTTAGGCAGGCCTCTCCCTGCCCCATAGACAAGCAAGGGATACAAGAATCTATTTGAGTGTATCTAAGAGGCTGAAAATGGAACTCCCAAGCTCTTCTGCAAACTGGTTTGCATCCCCCAATAGTTTTGCAAACCCTTTCTTCAGCAAGGTAAACTCAGGGAGTGAGCTTCAGCCCATTGTGCAAATGTCGCTGATCCCTGATTCCAACTCAGCGGAACCCTGGCGGTGACTTAGAAGGATGATTATTCTTGCTGCTTAAGGCAGGGCTGCTTTGAAGTCCGCACAACTCCTAGCCCCACCCGTCCGCCTCGCTACCACTTCTGATGTCCCTAAATGTCCCCAACAAAGAGAGGAAGCAGAATTAGTGATTTCTGAGTCAGTGTTTGTGATGGATACCCAAAGACCCAGCTTTCTCCATGGGCCCCCAAACCTCAGGATGCACCCACCAGTCAAGGGCCAAAATCCTGGTAATCAGGACAGCTGTTCAGGCATCATTACCAGTTTTAGCTGCGTAGTCTCCCTTTTCTTCGTCCCAAAGCATTGCCATTTTTGTATTTTTCAGTATTGTTATTTGAATTATTACATTTTAGAGCTGGAAAGGATGCTAGACTTCACCTCTGTAAGCAGTTATTGTTTTTGAATTTCAACTCTTTTGTAAAAATTGTTTCAAGCTCTAGACCTCCTTTCTAGCAACATGCCTCAGCACACAAAATTTGAAAACAATTTTTAGGAGTTTGTGAACAGCTCAAATCCCACCATGGACCAAAGGTGCTCATGGAGTCTGGGTTAAGAATCTTTCATCTATGCCAATAGTCTCCTTTAACAGATGAGAAAATGGAAGTCCGAGTGGCCCATAGAGTCAGGTAAAAAACAGCCAGATTAGAGCCCAGCCCTCTTGGTTCTCAGTCCAGATTTCTTTGCTTCAGATCACACAGTACACCCTTTCCTCTGCAGTCGCAGCCTTGGGTTTCAGAATAGATGACCTGGTTCTGACATGGGAGGCACGTGCTTCATGACCTTGATTGAAAGCTTGGTGCATGTCCATGGTGAACACAGGGTGAAACTTGACTGAATGGAGTCACAATGATCGATTTCAATTCTTTCCCTTCCCATCTCCCTTCCCTGAGAAGGCAGCTGAGGCCCACAGAGGATGCATGTCCAACCGAGGTCACTCAGCTGTTAGGGGCTGAGTTGGCTGTTTGTCCCCTGACTGTCAGTGACTGTGGGTGGGAAGGAATCACAGAAGGTGTATGCCCTTTGGGGGAAGCAGGAAGTGGCTATGTGATGCATGGCAGATGCCCTTCAGTGCTGATCTCTGACCTCTGTCTAGACCATAACAGAGTTAATCATATTTTCCTGTATGCGATAGATCAGTTGTCTTCATGAGGCTTTTCCCAGGTGGTATATGAAAGGGTCACACCTATTTTCATCTATTTTGATAGTCATCTGTCAGGTACGTTTTCTGTTAAACTCTTTCTGTTAAACTCCTGCAATGTCTCCTTTGGCCTTTGCTGTTTTTCTCTATGCCTGACTGTTGTAACTCTTCTTAGCACAGCCTAGAGGTGCTTAGAAGTGCAAGACATGAGGGGCAGGTTAAGGCAGATGCTGAGGGCAAGAAGGATCATAGCTGAGGTTTAGAGAAGCTGGGCGCAGAAATGCCACATTCATTTCTCCTTTGCAGAGCTGACGTTGGATCATGGGCTCTCTGGAGAGTTTCTTATAGGAATTATTGCCCCATTAAAAGTTGGGCCTATTTTCTCTTGTCTTCTCTTAGAAACACCATCAAAGCACAGCTAACTCCCACCGAAGGGGCATTACCACCTAGAAAGTTATAAGCAGAGACCTTTTCTTCACTCAACTTGGAGAAAGACAAATGACAGGCTAATGCCACAGATTTATTTGTTTTAAATGATAATAGAAATTAATTTCATGAGGAGACTGGGATCTTGAAATGCTTTCTGAGTCACCCAAGGAAAGATGAGATTAGATGCTGTTTCATTTTATTGTTAAATTTTTTTTTTAAATCATCTTCTGAGCCTGTAAATACTGATGATGCACAAATATTCTACATGGGGACTTTCTCTTAACCAGGATATTCAGTTTGCCTGCCACTCAGGCAAAATGGCTGTTAGATATAAATGAACATACTCTTATTTGTTACTTTATTTTCTAGTGTTCTGGGTCATTATTACCTTGTAATGCAATTTTTTTGTGTGTGTCTTACTTAGACACGTCTTGGAGTTTGAACCTGTGGTTATTTGGATTCTCATCTCAGCAACAGCCTTTTGATTCTCTTAGGACCCAGATTATCTGTGGCTCCTCACGTTCATCAACCAGTTCACAGTAGTACTTTCTGGCAGATTTTTCCGGAAATGTGGTGGAAACACTTGCTTTTCACTTAATAAGTAATTTATTTAACAGATAGCTATTCCTTTCCTTAGAGTCTGTGAGTATAGCAGAGATCTGGGGCCCCTGGCAAAGTAGTATTTATGTATTTGTATTGACATATTTGTTCCTGAAGCTAATTGTTGATTTTCTAGCACCTTTTTGACAACACGAACTCTCCAAATGCAGACAGCAGGTAAGCTTAGGTTAAAATTAGAAATACTAACGTGTATAGTCTCCTTCTATCAGTAATAATCTTAACATTAATTGAGTACCTACTATACTAAACTTCCTTTCAGGACCTTAATCTTTATAATCTTCAATCCATCCAGCTACTTTAGCAAGCAGGCAAGATAAGGAAAGAGACTATAATTACCCCAGAGTTCTATTATTGTAAATGGTGGGACTGCAGCAACTTTCCCATTGGCTTTATTTGGGGGACTAATTACTCAGGACACATCCAGTAATGCTTGCTATGAAATGCTGGAAGCTGCTCCCATTGAAATTGGTCTAGGCCATCCTACGATGTGACGACATCTGCACTATTTTAATGATTTTGACCTGCTCTGGCTATGTTTGATGTGGATTTCTCTATCCTCACTATTCACTTTTCCCAGCCACTGGCCAGTTAACTCATTGCTTAGTGATGTCTGCGCCTGGCACTTTGAACTCAAGGATGAGTTGTGTTAATTCTAGAAAACGGTTGTGTGTGGGGTGGGCCTCCGGGAGAAGGAGCTGTGCCATAGTGGGATCTGAACTCCAGCTCGCTGTTCACTGACTCTTGTCCTCAAGGCCATGCAGAATGGCAGGTGCCAAGGTCAAGTCCGCATTTCACAGAGCTGCACCTTGTGCAAACAGGCTGAAGGCTTTGTGCCTCACTGCGGGAGGGACATGGCTCCTGTGTGTGTTTATTTGGAAACAAATCTTTGCATGGATAGGAAAATACAGGCTTGTTATGTTCTAATTGCTCTGGCTCAAATCACCTGCAGATCTGGAAACAGTGTTTTGGAAATGGCAGAGAGCATAGAAAGGTCTGACTTCCAGGGAATGTAACCAAATTACAGCAGGGTGGAGGTGTATGTGCCTCTGGGCATGTGGGAGGACTGTGAGGTCTGACATCAGACTAAGATAATGACTTCTTGTTCTTTTAAGCTCCTAATAAGTTCCAGGTACTGGGCTAAGTTCATTTCTACAGTCTACTCTAGGTTGCGCTACTAACCCCATGAGCCTGGTAGCTTTATCCCCATTTGATGGCTGAGAAAATTGAGGCTTAGGCAGGTGGGCCTCTTGCTTTTTAGGAAGTAGCTGGTAGGAGAGTGTCCAGGATCCCCATTTACCTTTGTCACACCACTAGTCATGCTCTCTGCTCTGATCTAATACAGGTGAGCTGCGCCTGCCGCAGGTATAAGGACTAGGTTGAGTGCCGTCATCACTCAATTGGTAATAACTTTGCTGCCTGGGGTTTTCTGCCCATTAGTGTGAGAGGATTAGCAGTTTCTTGCAGGGGGGAGGGGAGTGTTGGAGCCTCCTTTCCTAATTGATTTACCAGTGAGAGGGATAATTACTTCCAGGCTACCCTGAAGAAATACAGTGGGGATTGCTACTCAGATTTCCCTGATGCGCAAGCTGCCTCTGTCAAGCTGTTAAAGAGGCATTGTGTTTATGGTTGGATGTTGGTTATTCCTGTATCAGTCTCTTAATACAAAAGCATAACCCTGAGCTATCTGTGACGCCCTGGCAAACCTCAAAACAAAAAAAACACAGGATTTGTTTTGGACCCTTGCTTTCCCTGATCATGTCTACGGAGATGGTTAGAAGGGTC